TAATCATGATTTACCTTAAATCCTTCATAGGTTTAAGTGTGATCATGGTTATTAGTGAGTGGACATCTTTGGATTCATGGGTTAGGGAGATCAAAGGGGGATTAAGCTAGATCTAAGGTGTTTGAGTATAGATCCATCTATTTCCTTGCTTGTAGAGTGATTTTAATGCTATTTTAGAGTTGACCTCTCTAGAATTGATCTTTAGGTATTTCAAGCCCACAAGGTGTTTGATGAAATACCTGAACCAACTCTTCATTGCTTCTAACATTCTTTACCAAAGAGATTTGATGTTAAAGTTGTTTGGATGGTTAATAGACTAGATCTTAATGATTGTTTAGATAATATTCAACCTAAGAGATTAGATGCTTGAGTTATCTTTACAAATGAACATACATCTAGGGATAGAGTTTGTTTAGGAATGTGTCTAGACCTAAGGATGATAGATTGAATGAAAAGCTTACACCTTTAGATTGAATTTAATTCCCCAAGATCAGTTCCCTTATCCCATGAGTTCTACCTTCTCATTTTGAAAGAAAGCTTGATCTATATTGCTTATTTAGTAGTCTCTTACTTTAAAAACCATCTTAATATTGATAGCACTTAGATTAAACTTTGTCTTGTAATCCCATTGGTTTATGATTGCTTAGAATTGGTTCGATATCTTTTATACTATAACATTTGAATAGGAATCTAAAAACTCCTATCATCAAATTGGCGCCGTTGCCGGGATCGAACCCGGGTCACCCGCGTGACAGGCGGGATTTCAAATTTGATGATAGGAGGTTTTAGATTCCTATTACTATGAAAATCACAAGATATCATATTCTAGTAACTTTCTGTAGAAAAAATCCATAGCTACCTTCCATTTTTAATCGAATGTTTATAACATTTTGCTTCATATTCAAGACTGCTCGAAATAAAATAGTGTCGGGACGTTGTAAAACGTTTATCCAGTTTTCTTTGGTTGAACGTTCTTCGATTGCCAAACGTGACAAAGGATACCCAACCTCCGATTAGTTAAGATATCTTGCCTCCCATTACTGATTTGATTGTATTACTGATATCGTACAAATAAACTAAAAAATGGAGAATATAACGATTTTTTTCTGAATATTAGGAGGCTCGGACCGAATCACGTAATTCCCTAAATCCGAAACCAAATATATATATATATATATATATATATATATGTAAGGCTTTATAACTTTTCTATAAATTCATATATATATATATATATATATATATATATTCATATATTTATAATTAGGTCTGGGCATTTTGGATAGCGGTTCGGTTCAGGTATTTCGGGTTTCATGTAGTTCGGGTATTTCGGATTTAAGATAGGGGGTTACAGGATCCATTTACTACTTGACATATTTTTGGTTCAGTTCGGTTTGGATAATTTTGGGTTCGGTTCGATTTGGATAGTAAAACTAGGAATCAGAAAATACCTAGCAAATTTGATTCTCATTTAGTTCCGGTTCGAGTTTGGGTAATTCGGGTAAATTATCAGATATTTTGAATAAAATATCAAATAATTAGAACAATTTAGATACAAATTTCAGATATTTCATATTACTTTGGATATTTGGAGTATACTTTCAGGTAGTTCAGATACATTATAATTATTTAATTATCTTTAACTATTTTTGGATACTTCTAATAGATTTTTAAATTAAAATCATATATTTGGTTATGTATATGTATATAAAATTAATATTATTATATATTCAGGTATTTGTTCAGTTATCAGTTTGGTCCAGTTCGATTTGGTTATTTCAGATATATAAATATAAGAACTGTTCAAATATTTAAAAATTTCAGTTTGGTTCCAATTTCGGATATTTTAGTTCGGTTTCGGTTCGATATTTCGGTTCTCGGTTCTGGTTTTTGTGCCCAGACCTACTCAAGAATTGTTTGTTGTTTAAGATATCGAACTAGACTTCCAGGAACCAGATGATTTATATAAGTAAGGTTTTTAATTATTTTCCTACAAGTTTGAAAAAATGTTTAGATAACCAGATAATTTCAGACTGAGTAGCACCTCATCTTCAAACATTTACAGTCGATACGCATCCAACAGCGACAAACATTTCCGACCCCGACTAACAAAAACAATAGACACTATATTAATATCATTTTATTCATCTATGACTATGACACACACACACACACACACAAATGTCGATAAGATCAAGCATATATAGAATAACATTGAATGAAAGATAGATTATGCTTCATAATATTACTATACGTCTGTCTCACACTTGTCTTTCATAGATGTTACGTGGTCAATTTTTCACTAAACTGCAGTCATGCATTTTGTTTTTTTTTTCCACGCCCACGACAAAACAAAAACGTAAAACTTGAGAAAAAAGGATTGCATGAGTTAGGTTCCCTTTTCCAATCACGGACCTAACTTAACAGTATGACATTCGACTTAACCTTTTCATTTGCATTATTCCCACGTATGTTTGCATATATCATCCCATTTAGTTATGAAAATAACAATACAAAACAATAAGACAAAATTATAAACAGTTTTGTCGACCACTTTCCCTGAAATAGATGACTCACCAAAAAACATTCATGATTGAGGGTTTGTTAGGCTAACAACCTCTTGGTAAATCTTTTCAAACATTTGTTTGTAAAAGAGGGCCACGTACGAGTCCTTCAAAGAGAACGTGACTCCGAAGTGTACAAAGCTATGTCTACTCGTAAGGGATTAATTATTTCCTTCCTTATACTTTTTGGTAGTTATAATACCACATTCACTTAGTTCGTACTTCTTATAAATCTGAGTAGCTTTCACTACGTTGTTTTTTATGATGCATGGCTATGATTATTATTTTAATGTGAACGTCAATATTTACGTTTGTATTTAAATATCAACAATTATTTTTCATTTCTAGAACCAGAAGCTTTTTCAGATCTTAGAACATTTTAGCTAGTCTTCGCTGTTTTAAAAGAAAAAGTTGTCACCATCAACTTGTGAATTTTTTTTAAAAGTACCCTTTTCAAAATAATGCATGTTTTAAAGTATTCATACATATTAATAAACCATATTAAATTACAACTATAAATACATATTTTGGTAAATATCGATCTATTTCTCAGTATTCTAATCCAATAAGAATTAAGCAAATGCAGTTAATTTTAAAATTTACAATTACTCAATACTAGTTGACAAAACATGTATTGCAAATATAAAAAAATGTATTTTTAAAACTTTTTTTTTAAACATGAATGGAGTCAAAAAATTTTAGAATATATATGTTAAATAATTATTGTAAACAGAAGAAAAGATGTTCCAAAAAAGTAAACAGAAGACAAAAGAATCAAACTAAAGATGATTGTGTTGATGATTTACAATAATGTAATTTAATAAATCACTAAAACTATAGTTTTTTCTTTTAAAAATAACATAATATCATTCATGTAAACGTAAATGGGAGCACGCAACTGTAAGCATATAATCCTAAATGTATACGTGCTTCTAGTTTGTGTTTTGCTGTATTTAAAGACGTCCATAAGAGAAAGAATGTTTCTTCGAAAATGACAAAAAAAATATGTCATTTAAAAAAAAAAGTAAATTTTGTTGGCTAGTTGAAAGTAAAGTTAATTCAAAAGAAAAAAAAACTGGTTTTGCATTAGGTGTTACATAAATTTTGATGGATTGATTGAAAATGGAGTTTAAGTTAGAGATTTCGATCTTCATGCTTGAACTATCGATAAATTAATCGCGGTGAACGAGAAGAAAAGATTTCATTGTAGACCTCATCTCTTAAAACTTTTATCGAGAGAAGATGATTTCTTACTTGTTGTCGGAGAACTAAATAAGTTTGATAGCCGAAGATTGATCTTTTCCATGCCTGCACACATCCATTTTCTTATATAATTTGGAAACACATATCAAAGAACAGGGGTTCTCTGAAAGTAATCAAACAATAATGTTTGTTTACCTTATTGTTTGGATTTGGCTGGGGCTCATAAAGCAGTTTTGTTCAGACGGTTGTTGCTGCTACCTTCGTCAGTTTACACATTTGATTCCTTAAGATAGTACATAAGCTAGACAATGTGAACATAAACTCAAATGGATAAAACTTGAACCATATTTACTCGCACGGGTATTATAATAATTAGTTGTACAATATTTTAGTATTATTGTTATAGTTTGCAATGGATCAGCGACCTAACTAGCTAAGTCTCCTCACATCTGGAATGGTCATCGAGGCTGGAGAGTTCTTAAATATACAGTTAATTCGTGAAGCCAATATAAAACCTCTTCTTACATCGAAATATTAATGAATGATTAACGAAGGTTGATTGTATAATTGAAGTACGTACAAATCCCGAAGATGAGATGTGAAGGAACACGAAGGACACCGAAAATGTAGTAATATGTATGAGTGTGAAGTTTAATCAGAAAGTTTGGTGCATGAGAGCTCTACCAATTCATTTTTTGTTGGACAACAGTACCAACGTAACGTTCTCTGAATTGCTTATCAATCAGTATCGAGAAATTTCTATACATTTGTGGATGAAATACATTTTTTCATGTTTCGAAAGTGTGTGTTTTTTAACTCCCTTTGAATTTTCAAAATATCGATCAAGTATTACACATACTCCCGACTGCTTCTGTTTTTAACATTGAATTATTTCATCTCATATTAACTGGCCTAGTTTGAATTGCTATTTTTTATATAAATCTTTTAACTCTGTATAATGTAACTTTTAAAAAGAGCCAAAAATAAAATAGAAATACTTACATATGTCGAGTTCACTGTAAAACGATATGGAACTTGTGTATTCATTATTACATTGAATCAGAGAAAATTATGAAGAAAACCCTAATTAAAGCTTGTTGCCGATGCAGCAACAGACGCCACTTAGGAAAGCTACTAATGTCCAAACTTTTATCTGTGTTTGCTTCGTCCTCCACTCTCTATAAATTCACTTAATCTCTTCTCTCTTTCACTCATCAAGTAATATTTTTATTTTTCACGTCTTTCTAATTTAGAATTCATTATAAGTTGTGCCAAAAAGGGAGTTCGTAAAGGAGTAGTTTGGCTTTTTGGTTGAGTTATTCCTTACATTGTTCTTTTTACAACCATATCTAATATATTATATAATTCATCTCCTAAACATGTGTACTGGAAAATCATCACACACAAAATCCTCACCCAAGGTTATTCCATAATTAGTTACTTTTCATCAACTTCAATTATTAGTTACTTTTGGTTGTTACTTTCGTGCACGTATATACATTGCATGTAAGTATGTTTGCACGTGTATAGACATCTGGGCAGGTGTAATATGTACTTATCAGTTTGACAAAGTTTTTTTTCTCCTTGTTTTTTTAAGTTTGGGAAAACAAGTCCAACTTCTTCTGTACTCTCCCTGGGTTCCAACAGTAAAAGAATGGTGAGATGAAGATTTCATTTTCTTTATTTACTTGTTTATTTTCTTGTGAGGCAAATTTTAATGAACGTGTGTAGTTTTAACCATTAAACTCTACTTTTAGAAACTCTACATTTTATGGACTCATGGTTAATTCTGGAAAAAAAGAAAATCTTGCTTGAAGACTCTAACTTGCATGTATATGTTTGGCCTAAAAAAACAATTGATAGACTATCCAGTTTATGCCTTCAAAGGTTTTTATAGCAAAAACAATAATTCCACGAGTACCTTTTGTTCTGTTTTATTTATTTGTTTTTCAAAATAAATTAGACCAATTTCTATAAGAATGATAATAACATCAATTTCTGCCAATTTCAGTATAACAAATTAAATTTTGAATGTTCTAATACAAATATTACTAACAAAATGTGAATTTATAGGGATATGCCACTATTTAACCTATTGTCTTTAAAAACTCATTTCATAAAAAGCTTCATAATTTAAGAATTAGTCTGGCAAGGTTTCATTTTCTAATATATTAAACCTTAAGTTGGTTAAAAGGGGAGTAAGTAGTGTCATATATTCACACTTGTGTTCTACTGTATGTTTTATATTATGTGTTACTCTTACAGTTCTCGAACGAAAGTTGTAAAAGAAAAGAGTAAAAAAATATCTCGGAATACTGAAATACCATAGTGATCAATCATGTAAACCCTCGTACAATGACTCAATTCTCGATTGTTTAATGAAAATTCTATCGTAGACCAAAGTGGAACTCAAAGACAGAGCACATGACAAAACCAAGGCCGCAGCTGCCAAGGTACTCATACAGAGATCCTATGATATAGTGTGAAATTGTTTTTTAATTAAAAATGATATAAGCTTTCCACGATATAACACATAAAAGAAAAAGGCATATGTTACACGCAAATATTATACTCAAGATATTATGCAAGTTACAACTCTCATCGACTATAGATATATAGTCTATGTTTATATGCATCAAGCCTTCTCAAATTATTTGAAATGTATATGATTTTTTTATTTTATAGAAACACTTCTTCTAAATCTGGTCTTGCTCAAATTCACCAATTGCACATGCTAAAGTACGGTCTTACAAGACCTTATATACTTCTGCGACTAGTTAACATGCATAAATTGTTTTTCCAATCAATCAGAATGTTGCAAAGGCACCAGCAAAAGAGAACAAAAAGCCTCTTGAGTTCAAGCTTCACTCTGGCGAGAGAGCAGTGAAACGTGCCATGTTCAACTATTCGGTTTATACAATTTCTCTCAGTTGTTTTTATTAATTTTACTATTCTGTTTCCATGGAGCTCATTCATTATATTCGCAGGTTGCAACTAACTACTATATCACGAAACTGCAAAAGAAACAAGAAGAGAAGTTGCAAAAGGTAACTTACAAAAATGCTTACAATTAGCATCAGGCTAGAGAACAACCTTTCAAACCGTACTCTGGTTTTGGTCTCACTTGGACTGTCTCCTACGAACATAATACACGACTCTATCTATATGACCTGGCCAGTCGAGAAGTGAAAAATAATTTAGCTTTGGTATAAGTGTATAAACCGAATAAACAGTTTCAAGTCAAAACACAGCGTTAACCGTATATATACACCGGAATTTTTTCAACTAAAAGAACGAGTTTGCTTAAAACTCGGTTTATTTTGAGAAGAATTTTAAAATTTAACCGAACCGTGAAATAGATGATAGAAGAGGAAGAGATTCGTATGCTAAGAAAGGAAATGGTTCCAAAAGCTCAACTGATGCCTTTCTTCGACCGACCTTTCCTTCCACAGAGGTTAGTTTCGTCCTAGCACGACTCTTAATGATATAGAAATAATACTATACGATTCAAATAGTTATTACTTAAATTTGAATTATTATTTTTAAAAATATTTGGATGCAGATCAAGCAGACCATTGACGATGCCAAAGGAACCAAGCTTTGGAAATGTAAACAGTACTTGTTGGACATGTGTCTTCAACAACCAACACTATCTCTACCATATTCACCATTCTCATGCTTAAATTTTGAGAGCCACTAGCTCAGTTAGAGGCTTTTGCTATTTTCAATCCAAATCTTTCTTTTCCGGTTACCCTTTTTACTTTTGCACCTGGGCAAATTTCTGTCTCTCATCTTTTGCGTTTCTTATTGTAATTTTTCGTAGAGATAAATAAATGATCGATTTCGACTATTATCATGTGTATGATTGGTATATATCTATGCAAGATATTCACTCTCATTTGTTCCGTATACCTAGTGGAGGGTTAAAGTTGTCATACGAAAAATCAGAACAAGATGATATGAAATATGTAATCATGGAAATATTCAATCTAAGGCTAGTTGATTGCACAACCATACATTGTAGTTTACCTGCATCTGGAGAAATGCTACGATTCAAAATAGGTTGGCAAATATTATTTGATAAAGGGACATTAAGAGCATGATTATTACAAAAATCACCAAGTGTCCCTTAAGTGGGGCTTTGTGATTTTTTAAATAGAAACATAAAGGAGTAAAGGAGAGAGAAGGAAGAAAGAAAGAATGAAACTGAATACCTTGTGACACGTGGGCCGAAGGGGCGCTGCTTCGAGAGCTTCAGGAAGGGACGTGTTTTCATTTTATCACTCCTTTTTACTTATTTTTAATTTTATTTATGTTAAACAACCCTCTTAAGGGACAGCAATAATCATGGTCTTAGTTAGCTATAGCCTATAGCCTATATGCATATGAAAAGGTGAATAGCCCAGGAAGAGCCAAATGCCTTTTCTTTTCTTTTCTTTTCTTTAAGAAATATCAAATATTATAGTTTAATTTTTATTTTTCCTTTTACCGTCTGAAAATAACTTATAAATAAAACCGAGTATAGTTTTCAATTTTTTTTATTATTATTGGTGTTTATCTAGTTATATGATCCATGTTAATATCAGACTTCGTATTCTTTATTCTTGAAAAATTCTTTGATGATTTGATTAACTACCAAAGAAAAAGATTTGATTAACTAAAGTTAATAGTTTTTATCTTTAGAGATCTCACCAAATTTACAAAGATTTAAATTCTTCGGAGATTTTACATTTAGATGGATAATTTTATGATTATTAGTTTTCCAAATAGCCTCTGAAATGGATCACTATTGTATCTTAGAACTTTTCTCTCCATAAATCACCTTATGATATATCAAGTCTAAGTACATAAACTTATATTTATATGATATATCAAGTTTAAGTACATTTGGACAACATAGGATAAATTATGTTTATCTCTAGAGAGGAGGGAGAGATTCGCTTCAGGATGATACATGAGTTCAACTTAGCGCTATTAGCAAAGCAACTATGGAGATTAGTTCAATATCCAAACTCCCTGGTAGTTCGTGTTTTGAGAGGTAGATACTATAGATTAAGTTCGCCTTTGCAACAACTCACTGTTAATAGGCCATCATATGTATGAACAAGCATATCGGCGGGACGAGAATTACTATTGCTGGGAATCAGACAAAAGGTCCACGCGGGGTACAAGGTGAAAGTCTGAGAGGATCCCTACCATCTCAGCAAGACTAACTACCCCATCGGCACCGGTATTGAATCCGAACATGAGAGTGAGCGATTTAATAAACCAAACAACAAAGACTTGAGATGAGAGCCGTCTTGAGAATTATGTAGCTGTTACTGATATACTACTCATCTAGAGCATGACCATTAGCTCTACACATCGTCAGGATACGTACTGCTGGAGTTATACAAGAAATGGACAGTGTACAGTTAAATTTGGATACTGGGTAGCACGACATGTTTTGATGAAGGAAGAGGAATCTGTTGTTTGTGAACCTAGCATCACAAAGCTTCAAACACATGCTTGGAAAGTCAAGGCACCCCAAAAGATATGCTATCTTATGTGGAAATTAATAACAGGTCATGTGGCGGTTACGAACATTTTAAATTATAGACATATGAGATGTGATAACCACTGTCCGCGTTGTTGGGAACCCGAAGAATCAATTACACATGCAATCTTCGAATGTCCACCTGCTATGCAAGTTTGGGCCTTATCTTCCACGCCTACCAGTCCTTCCTTGTTTCCACTGCAAAGCACTTATGAAAATATAGATTATCACTTCTAGAGGAAAAAATCTATAATGGAACCGGAATTTGATAGGGATCCTTATCTCTGGCTAATTTGGTATATATGGAAGGCTTGGAATGACAAACTGTTCAGAGGTATTGATAGAGACCCTTTGGAGCTCGTGGTCAACTTATGCATGGTGGACGGATCTTGGACTTCTACTGATCATTTCAGAGGATGTGGTTGGGTTTGGAACGATAGCTCCAGAAATAGCCAGTTAATGGGGTTGCGCAATTTTGATAGAGTGGAGTCTGTGTTGCATTCAGAGTTGGAGACACTATGGTGGACAATGGAGAATATGCTTCAACATTCGCCATGTCAGAGCTTTGGAACCGATTGCAAGGAGATGATCTCGATGCTCATGAATCCCAACGAATGGCCTAGCTTCTCAATGGAATTGGAAAAACTCGTGACACTGAAGATTTGCTTCCCTGACTTCAAGATTTTCTATGTCCCTAGGCTACAGAACATATTTTCTGATTCTTTAGCTAAGACAGCTAGATCCTTTTATAGTAAACTCTTGTATGTTGGTTGTTCTATTCCGGTCTAGTTACTCAGACCACCTCAAACTTGAGTAATAAATCAGCCTTTCGTTGCCAAAAAAAAAATTATATTTAGAGAACATGCATAAGCCATATGATCTTTAGCCAACCATCCACCACACAACTTTGTGAAGGTGAACAAAGTTCAAAAGATTGAACAAGCTTTTTGGTGTATTTCTTATCCGAAAATCAGTGTGTTTAAATGATGCAAGCCATTTTCATAATAATGCGCGCCTTGAGGATAAGGAGAACATCATAGAATTATATATGGATTTTTGCAAATTTGACTCAAAATTCAAAGTCAAACACAAAACTAATCTTTTTTTGTCCTATTCACTTCACCTGTTCACATTATTTACGAAAAGGCCATTAAGTTTTTTTCTTATTTTTTTGACTCTCTCAACCTCATAATCTTGAAGTATTTATAAGATTGTCATTGCTATCAATACCCTAACTACCATGAACAACCAATCTGAAGCTCTTAATGAACCTAAAATCGATTTACACTCTCTCTTTCTCAATTGTTATGAACTAAAAACAACATCTCTTTCACTTTGTCACCATATTCATCCAAAAAACTCAAGCTTTTGATTCAAAATATTTTATGGTTGATAGAGCCATTCAAGCTTAATATTCTTCGTGGGTTACTTTTGTTTGAGGTTATGGATGGGTTGGAGAAGACTCTGTGTGCTAAGAAAGTCATCTCACTAGTTTAAGGTATGAAATTGAAATTTTTAATAAATATGTTCGCGTAAAAGACTTACCTGTAAGCCGTCTAGCCGCAGAAGACTTACGTGTAAGTCTTCTAGTCAAACAGACGACTTAATTCTAAGTCTCCTAGCTTTGTTTGTCAAAAAAAAATGTAAAGAATACCGTGGATGACTTATTGGTAAGTCGTCTATGATAAACGGGTTAGTTTTTCATTTGACCGACTTGTGTCAGATATTTGACTTTTCCTAGATGACTTACATATTTTACTTCTCCCAGACGACTTACACGAAAGTCGTTTAGTCGGACGACTTACATAAAAGTCTTCCAAGATAAGCAAAGTTGTCAAGATTTTTTTCTGAGATTCTGGTCAAACCTTGCTTATCTCGGACGACTTTCTCGTAAGTCATCAAACTGGACAACTTTCATGTAAGTCGTTTGGGAAAAGTAAAATATTTAAGTTTTATTTTCGAATTGCAAACTAACCTGAGACGACTTATAGATAAGTCGTCTAGCTTTAATTATATATTGAAATTTTTGTTTTCCCAGAGACGACTTACTGGTAAGTCGTCCAGGAAAAGTCAAATATCTGACACAAATCGGTCAAATGCAAAACTAACCCGTTTATCCTCGACGACTTAATGGTAAGTCGTCTAAAGTTTTTTTTAACAAACAAAGCTGGACGACTTACAAATAAGTCGTCCATTGAATAGTCAATTGCAAAAATGACTTGTTTGGACGACTTACTGGTAAGGCGTCTAAGTCTTCCAGATGACTTACTGTTATGTCGTCGGCGCCAGTGTTTAGTAAACTTTCATTTTCTCTATGTTTACTAATGTGTTTTATTTTGATTTTTTGCAGATGATGCGTTAGTTACATGCAGTGTATAGAGAATGGTTATTCAAAGATGGCTGTTGAGATTTTGTGGTTGATAATTTCAAATGAGCGAGAATGTTTCTTTTGAGTGAAGATTTGACACATGCTGAACTTGTTTCAGTAGCTCAAGAAGATTTTAACCTGGACATGAGGATAAAATCTGTGGAGATAACCTATTCACTACCAGCAAAATTGATTCAACAAATGGATCCAGACATCCCTCCTATTCGTGTTACAAGTGATAGACAAGTTCAAAAATTTCCAGACGACTTAATTATAAGTCCTCTACTAATTCATTCAGCTGGAAGACTTTCCAGACGACTTAATTGTAAGTCCTCTAATAAGTCGTCTAGTTGGAAGGCTTTCCGGATGACTTAATCATAAGTTTTCAAAAAGTCTTTTGAACTGAAGTAAATACATGTCTTTCAATAGCGTCTTTAAAGCATCTTCGTCCTTTGCCACCCTGGTAAGCCAGTATCTGTGGAGATGGTATGTTTGGTATGGGATTACCATAAGTAGCACCCAATTCGGCAGAGCTGTGTACACCTAGACCTGGAGAGCTTGTATAAACCCATTAATGGTGTAACAACCCGAAATATCTTTGCCCTTCACAGAGTCCATCAGCACCTTAAACGCGACTCTTCCCCATGGATAATTCTCAAACCATTCTAGATCCATCACTAGCCTTGCCAGACTAACCCATGTAGGGGTTGAAAACTTTCACCTTTCAATGTATCCAGTGAAGATAGCAAGGTACCCGAACCAGTTGCGATCATCCGAATACCACCCTTCACATCTCACAAGTGCTGCTATTATCTGTTGAGTAGTTGGCCCAGCTTTGACATGAACTCCCAAGAACTCCGAGAAAGAAGTCAACTCCTTTGTAACAAAACAGTTTGGTCTCTCAAGGTCCTCGATGTACTTGCAGTTTAGACCAGTGATGTATTCAAAATCTAACAGTGAAAACCTCAAAGGTTGTGGACCAA